GCTAGAGGCAGCTCAACATTATAGACCTTTCCCCTTTCTGCCTCATGCGCTAGAGGCAGCTCAACATTATAGACCTTTCCCCTTTCTGCCTCATGCGCTAGAGACAGCTCACCATTAGAGACCTTTCCCCTTTCTGCCTCATGCGCTAGAGGCAGCTCAACATTATAGACCTTTCCCCTTTCTGCCTCATGCGCTAGAGACAGCTCAACATTATAGACCTTTCCCCTTTCTGCCTCATGCGCTAGAGACAGCTCACCATTAGAGACCTTTCCCCTTTCTGCCCCATGAGCTAGAGACAGCTCACCATTATAGATCTTTTCCCTTTCTGCCTCATGCGCTTGGGAAATGTGAATGGTTTTCAGCATAAGTGCGTCTCGTGTGCACGCACCCTGTCATTTATAATCACTGATCTATGTATAATAAACGTGTAGCACATTATGGGTTTAAGATGATGCCACTTGGCCACCATTTGGTCGGCCCAAAAGTATAATCATCAGCAAGGGGTTGGTAGTGAGAAAGTTGGACATTGTTCCAACGTAGACTGTTCCAACAATAAGCGTAAAACTAACTCTTGTGCAATCAATATGATGGCTAAGTCATCTCACTTGGTGGGCAACGTTGTGACGGGCCAATGTGCTGTAGTTATTATATATAGATCCGTACTTCTAATGCCTCTGCCATTCTCTGTCTCTTTCTTCTCTCTAATGTCTCTGTCATTCTCTCTAATGTCTTTGTCATTCTTTGTCTCTTTCGTTCTCGCTAATGTCTCTGTCATACTCTAGATCTGTCTGTTTCATTCTCTCCAATGTCTCTGTCATTCTCTCTAATTTCTCTGTCATTATCTCTAATTTCTCTGTTATTTTCTCTAATTTCTCTGCCATTCTCTCTTATGTCTCTGTCATTTTCTCTAATTTCTCTGCTATTCTCTCTAATGTCTCTGTCATTCTCTCTAATTTCTCTGCCATTTTCTCTAATTTCTCTGTCATTCTCTCTAATGTCTCTGTCATTCTCTCTAATTTCTCTGCCATTCTCTCTAATGTGCTATTTTTGTTGTTGTGATCAGGTCCAGATACGCCCGTGGAATCTGAGTGACTCAGACTTTGTCATGGATGGATCCTCACCCCTAGATCCGCGCAAGACGATCTTTGTAGGAGGGGTACCCAGACCACTCAGAGCTGGTAGGTATAGTTCAATACTAGAGGAAATTGGTGTCGACCCACGCAAAACGATCTTCGTGGGAGGGGTACCCCGTCCTGTCAGAGCTGGTAGGTATAGCTGCTATTAATCGCCGCTGCTATGTGAGGGGGGCAGGTACACTGTCTTAACTATGCTAGCCTGCGTCTGTTAGTTGTGAGCTTTCACTTCTTACCGCTTGCCTTTTTCTTACCGGGAAGGTTACCATACTGTCTCTCTGGCTGTCACACTGGGAAAGGTTACCTTACTAGCTGCATCTATTCACCTAACATATGAGATGCTTAGCCGATTTATTATCTCTCAAAGTAATAATACGTATTAACCAGTAAGAGATCGCGTTAGTCCCAACGCTTTCCATAACTCAAAGTGACCTAACCGGCTCTCTCGTAACCATCGTCTTTGAGCGAGGCACATCCATCTAACTGATAAACGCTTTAGCTGTCTACGCTTTAACTGGTGACCTTCATGTTGCTCGATATTCCGATAACTGTCCACTGCTGAATGTCATCTTGCCGGTCTGATCCTAACTATTACTAGCGGGCATCTTACTGGCTTCAGCTGAAACTGTCCGTTGGTTGATGTCTTCTTTCTTGTTATCGCCGCAGCTGTCTCTATGCGTATATTCTTATCGTAATATACATGCCTCTAACTGTCTAGAGAGGGGAAAGTTGTCCTACTATATAATCTATCTAGCTGCGTGTGGGTGGAGGTTGTCTTACTTGTCAACTAACTAAATGTCACGCTGTATTTTAGCACAGCGTAGTTCTCTAACTAAAACTTGTCTCGTTCGCGTCAGTGCGGTGCCAGTCTTGCCTGCAGGGAATTACTAACAACGTGAGCTGCTGTTAGTGTTAAATTTGAGTTTTCCATTTCTTGCCTCGCTCCGCTCTGCTAGATGAAGCGAGTGAGCGATCGATCGCGCGAATCAAATCAGCGTTGAATCACCGAGTTCTCTCCATTGAGAATGCCAGGCGTAGTGAAGCTCTGCTATTCTCGAGAAGAAAGCGGTCCGCTCTCGACCACTCTGTTGCAGCGCAAGCGCGCGCGCGGTAATCGAGGTGTTACATGCGTTGTTTGATAAATTGCACGCACTCGGGCTTAGCGACGTGTGAAGGGTTAGGGTTCTAACGCTCTTCTTACGCTCACTCGCTCTGGCAGCACACCCATCGTACTCTTACTTCACGGTTATAATAGTTGGAGACGGTTCCAGCAGTAGCTGAAGTTCGTTGCCTGCGTGCGTGCGCTAGAGTAGTGATGCTGCTGCTGCTGCTGCTGCTGCTAATTCTAATCGCAGGCAGCGCTTCTGTGCAGCCAGAGAGAGAGAGAGGCGTACGTGTACAATGCCGCTGCTGATGCTACTGCCTGCAGTCCTTGCTGAGTGAGAGAGAACCCCCCCTCTCCCCCCAGTTACTGCAAACGAGTAATTAACGCCTTAAGTCCCTCCCAGCAGCTGCTGCTTCCCCTGCCCTCCTCCCCCCTCCCGATCGACTGCCACACGCCCGTGAGCGTCGAGTAGAACTATGTGGTAGACGGCAACGGGCGGCATTTTGCTGTTTCAGTGGAGCTGGCGATGATCATGGACCGACTGTACGGGGGCGTCTGCTATGCTGGCATAGATACAGACCCGGAGCTCAAGTACCCGAAGGGAGCCGGCCGCGTGGCATTCTCTAACCAGCAGAGCTACATCGCAGCGATCAGCGCACGCTTCGTGCAGCTGCAGCATGGCGACATCGACAAGAGGGTAGGTGTCGAGTCTCAGTCTCAGTCTCAGTTGCCTGGTCAGTCTGCGCGCGTGTGTGGGTGCGCGCGCAGCTCGCTCAGTCTGCACGCGTGTACTGCGCGCGTGTGTGGGTGCGCGCCCAGCTCGCTCAGTCTGCACGCGTGTACTGCACGCGTGTGTGGGTGCGTGCAGCCCTAATAAGATCAAAAGTTATCACTCACTGCTGCAATGTACATCCTGCGTTAGCCTCACGTTGACTAGACTCTAGGCGAATGCGAGTTGAAACGATGTCCAACCTCGTTGTCGATCGCTGACTTGATATTAGTGTTGACGACAGACACGGTGGCCCGGCGTCGTCCTTCCGTTTCCCACCTCTGCTGCAGCTGTGCTTGTCTGATGTTAATTCTGCACGTGCTCTCTCTCTGTCTGTGTGTAGGTGGAGGTAAAGCCGTATGTGCTCGACGACCAGATGTGTGACGAGTGCCAGGGGGCACGCTGCGGAGGCAAGTTCGCCCCGTTCTTCTGTGCCAACGTCACCTGTCTACAGTACTACTGTGAGCACTGCTGGGCCACCATCCACTCACGCCCCGGCCGCGAGTTCCACAAGCCACTGGTGAAGGAGGGAGCCGATCGCCCGAGGACTGTGCCGTTCCGTTGGTGCTAGATGGCGCCACCAGCGAGCGGTACCACCGAGAACCAGTTGGTGTTTGACTGTCAGCAGCTGCATGCTTCAACGTGGAAAGTTGTTACACTCATCGTTTTTCGGATGACTGTGCAGTTTTGTATGTATTTTCTATACGGCGTATGAACTTTCGTTTTATCTGTAACTGATTAACTAACTTTTAGCCGCAGGGGCGACAGACCCTGCTCCCCCCGTTGTAACTGCTGTGGCGACAATATGTTGATGTGATATTCCATTTCATATTACATTTTTAATGTAAAATGGTATTTTTGATTGATGTTGAACTATGATTTGAAGAGAGAGAGAGAGAGAGAGAGAGAGAGAGAGAGACAGAGAGAGGGGGGTTAGCGTTCGCGCGTGTATGATTGATGAGTACAGGTGTGAGAGAGAGGGAGGGCCGGGCGACCGGGCCGGGGCACGAGGCTCACACAGCCAGCATGGCATGGCGAGTATTTTGTTTTAGAAATCATTTTCTAGGCGTCAGACTGGATGAGTCCTCGTTCCCCGGCGCCGGTAGCACCGCGTGCACATACGTGCGCGCGTGTATGTGCACGCGTGCGTGCGTGCGTGCGTGTGATGGCATGTTAGTACTCATGGGTCCACTAGGGGGCTCTAGAATCACTCTTCCCGAGGAGCTATCTGCAGCTAACACAGTCTATGAGGATCTGACAGTGAGGTGCCAACTGGTACTGTGGTCTTTATTTCATCAAGTTATGTGTACATTTAACTTGTAGTGTATTACCTCATTGCATATAAACCAAAGTGTCGAGTTCAGTCTGCTTTTGGTCAAAGAAGCTGCATGTGGTTTGTTTACCCGTGGTTGATGAGAGGCACATGCAAGTTGTTGACTGTTTGCGTTGTTGCCTGTCTGTCTGTTACCGAATCAACGGGCAGGTAGACCAAAACGTGCCTCATGTAAGACAGCGAGCGAGCGAGCGAGCGAGCGAGTGAGCGCGGTGTAATTGTGATGGGACGTCTCCCTTGGGGGCGCTGCTGCTGCTGTCTGCGAGCGGCGAGTCTCCGTGCGGGTGGCGCCCCCTGATGACTGCAAGGTGAAGCGTATGCACGTGCAGGTGTGCATATAGCTGTGATGTCGATAAACGGGGATTATAAAAGCTAGGACCGCATTTACTGCATGGGGTTAGGTATGCGGGACGCACGTGGCGCACAATCGTACATGATGAATGATTACAGGCGCACTTATGGCACTAGGCCAGCGTGAGCGCGATTCACGCAGCAGTCCTAGTGCGTGCGTGTGCGTGTGCGTGTGTGTGTATGTGTGTGTGTGCGTGCATGTGTGTGTGTGTGTGTGAGTCGTCGAATGTCCGACGCAACACAGCTTCCCTTTGGCAACTCGCTTAACTGAAGCTGGTTTCTTTGGCCAAAGTAGCGTTATTCATACTTGATCTCAGTATACCAAAGAATACAGTCTATTAATAACTGATGTTGTTAGTCCGTGTAGGCTGATGCTACTCCCTTTAATGTTCATTGTTGTTGTTACTAAAGTGTAACCCCTATGACCGTGGCAGTATTTTTGCCAACAGGTTCAGTAGATGCGTCTCGCTGCCACATGATGGCGCTACTGTGCAGCTGGGAGTTGTTTTATATATGGGAAATTTTTTGCATCAGTGGAGACTGTGCGAGAAGCCCTAGAGTGTGGCAGTGAGGCCAGCGAGTCGCGCTGACGCAGTAAAAATAAGTGTTCTAACATTTCTGGTAGAGAGAAGGGAGAGGAAGAGCGAGGAGGAGAGCTGCGTTCTCTTCCCGCGAGCAGTCAAGAGTGTTTGTATAGGCACCTCGGTGTGGTACTAGTAATTAAAACCAGTGATACGTTGTAGCACTGAGCGTGTGCTACTCTAACGACATTAATTTAATGATGATTCGGGTCTAGTCAGTCGTCGCCTGTGTTACTAGTGGTAGTCGGAACAGTGATTCCTCGAGTGTGGGGGCAATCTATCTGCTTGCGTGTTGACGAGGCAGAGGAAACTGTCTGATGTAGAGTGCACAGATTGTCTAGTGGAACTCTAAACCTTCGTAGCATGCTTGTGTTTCCACTTTGTATATTTTGGTGAACTTTTACTCTACTGATTTTTTTTTTAAATATCGCATTGCTGTGTGGTGAGCATCCCCTTCGTGGCACCAGCATCGGTGCTTCTGTCTACGCCTCGCTGCTATCCTGTCTCCGCAGGTTTTGCCCTCCCCCATAACTGACAAAAAAACACGTATCGCCGTAATATGATAAACAAGTACTTAGGTGTTTTCAAACATCACTGTGTGTGTCAGCATTATAATACCCGTATGTCCGCCGCATATCAGCAGGCACGTGTCAGTTTGGCTGGTGAAGCCCCACGGAGCACGTGACAGCCGCTCACGCTATAGGTGGCGCTGGGGAGAATGCTAGTCTTAGCTATAGTATGTAGCTAGTCGTGGTTGTGTGCAACAAACCGTGAGCGTTATAGTGGTGGCGAATGATGATGACTGACATGAGAATTCCGTCTGTGATGAGAGTAGGAAAATAGGGGAGTAAGAATGAGAGGAGGAGATAGCAAGAGAGAAGTTGAATGGACAAGAAGGGAAAGAGGGGGAGAGAAATTTAATGAGAGCGAATGGGGGATGGAGAGGAGAGGGGGAAAGAGAGAGAGAGAGGGGACAACATGAGGAGCAGTCCATGATAGTGTGTCGACAGTAAGAAAGAGTAAGTGTTGTAGTTACGTGCCATGCCTTTATATGGCAGCATGAGCAGATAGGAGAAGAGTGTAATGATATAATGGAAAGCGATAATGATTGAGAAATGAAGTGTCGGTGATGTCCACTGCCTAGTCATGCATGGCCGACAGTTCAGGAGTAGGAGGAGGAGGAGAAGGCAGGCCTTACAGATGCTTGTGATGAGGCAGTATGAGACAGGGATTCAGTAAGAGCGGCTGGCTACGTGGGGCTTCACATGCACCAAACCTAATATCTTAAACCATTAAATATGATACACAGTATATGAGTGTTGTACTTGATTAGGATGCTGTCCGAACTTCCGGCTGCATTCATACTGCACTTGCCCACAGATACATATGCCTCTGTTTCTCGTATGGCTATAATACTCTGCTCTATCTCTTATCGACATTTTCTGTTGGTAGCACTGTTCTGTATGGCTTTCCTTCATGATGCGTCACTTCGATCAAATTCCATAGCGTTTATATCTTCTTATAACCAGTAGCTGTGGGCAAGTTTTAACTTCACGTTTTTATTCATTATGCTGGTTCGCTCCCAAACTTGTAATATTTTTTATCGGTAATTCTTATTTTCTTATTTCATGTTTTCAAGTTCGTTGAGGGTTCTTGTTAGCATGTAGTTTTTGAATTTTTTAAACAAATTCTTTTTCACGTTTTCATTATGATTATATTTAATAGCACGAAAATTCCAAAAAAAAATCAATTGTAGTGACAAGTCTGTCTATATAGTTGGTCGTAGTATTTATCTCTTTCTTACTACTTGGTGTATAAAATTCAACATGATTTTTACATTATAACCGCAACCGCTGCAGCATATGTGATATATGTTTGGCTGGCGTTGTTTGTAAGTCTAGCTAGCCTTAAAATATTTAAGGATTATTTTTATCGTATTAAATGTCAGATAAAACAAAACTGTGCTTGTCACAGTTGTAGGTAAATGACAAAGGGCAGTCGGCCGGAGAGGTGGTTCGGTTCGTTCGCTGCTGCATGGTTACCGTTGCCGATGACAGTGCTACCTGTTGGAGGGCAGGTGAAACTATTGCACCGGTATAGGAAATTCACTGACCTTGCAGTCCCCTCTCTGTCCGGCCGGTCTGTGCAGGCCAGTCACACGCTTGGCTGGCATGGCAAGATGTAGGAAATTGTTATTAACTGGGCAAGAGAGGATTGGAGTGACATTATTATTTAATTCTGCAATCAAACAGTTGAAAAATAAAATATGGGTAAGATTGATTTTATTTTTCTCGTAATATTATTATGTATGATTCCTTTTCAGCCTTTGCCTGTAAGGATGCCAGTGCAGGAGATTTTAAACTTTTTTATTATAGTGAAACCTAAATAGAAAAACCAGATTTAATATATAGGTATTTGTAATTAAACGTTACCGTTTTTAATGTTCCACATTTTGTATTTTTCTGAACGTTTAATAGGAATTCTGGTAATTGAAACTTGATGTATAAGAGGGGTGAGTGGGGCACGTTTTCTCAGCTGTTGAGTTTGTTTGCCAATGTTTAGTCGTTATGGTGCTATGGCCAGTGTTTGCGCTTCGAACCCGTCAGCATTCGATTTCCACATAAAACCTCTAACAATGGTACAATGCAGCGTACAAATACCGTACGTAACAATGTATGTACAATGTCAATGGCCGTTGTGTGATACAGGCAACGAATGTTGCAGCTACAGCCATCATCCGCATCCTTCACTCAATGATCTTCCTCTATTTATCAAGTTCATACTAGGTTTTTCTATACGTATGTAAGTGTCGTCGTAATACATGGTGTATCGAAACAAGAGCGGTGGCATTTCGCGTGCAGAAGAAATTTTATTATCTATGTCGTTTATTTTTAACCGTAGTTTTGTATGTCCAGCTTTCTTATTAATTACTGTTGATAACGTTTACTGTATCACACAGTGTTCTGATTTTAGCGGAATTATTAAATATTGATCGACATTTTTCGAGAGAAGTGCGGCCGCTTTTGTGTGCGCGTTGCTTCTTGCTGTGTGATAGTGTAGTAAGGACTTTGTAATACCGTCGCCTGGTCCGGCGTATCACACCGCCACCTGGCGGCGACGTCCACGGTCATTGTTGGCAAAATCTTCCCGTTTCTCGTGTAACAATGTATTCGCTCACCTTCGTTTTCTACTATTTTTACCTTGTGCTGTGAAGCGATCAGAAGAGAAGGGAGAGAAGGATCTCTATACTGAGTCAAAGGGAAAGGGGGCACAGGGCGGATGTATGCGAAACGTGGTATCGCTGCGCAGGGTAGAGAGAGAGAGAGAGACTTATGTTTACACGTGTAATAATTTCTTTTGCCGTGTGTAAGGTAGTGAAGGCTTCTAAGTGTAAACGTGTGCGTCTCGGTAGCAATCGAAATTCCAGTGAAGCTATTGTTGGGTTGTGGTTTACCTCCTCGTATTCCCTTTTCCCCAACACGCACACTATTCCCCCCCACCCCACCCATGCAAGGGGTTGCTAACAATTTTATTTACGATTTGGCCTGTCACACTGTCATTTATGAGTACGGTATCAAAAGAAAACTTCAAACGCATAGTGTGTCGGTTTTCTCAGTTGTGAATTGCCGAGGCAATTTTTTACGTATTTTCTACTTGTAAAGTTTTTTCACAGTTCTAGATTTGGTCGAATATATATGTTGGAGAAATATTATTGCGGGGGTTGGTCGAATACAGGCGGAATGTATTACAAGCAACGGTCTCTACCGTGAATCGACTGTTCGGAACCAGTTGCACCCATTTCCATAGCATGCTTATTTTGTGTACACTCCATTTCACTTTACCCAATGTGCAATAAAACCCGTTGCAGGTACGTTTTTATCGAGTATTGCCTGAAATTGTTCGTACATGTGCCCGTGAGTAATTTCTAAACACCTGTAGCATGAAATAACAGTGTTTGTATTTTGGATAAAAGACAACACGTGTCATTATTTTAATATGTAGAATTTTGCTATCACTGTTGTGGTATCATGCATTACTTGTGGTATTATTATTATTATTAATATTGACTACATTAGAGCGCATGTCAGACCAAGAACGGAGTGGTATGGCTGCTGCTGTGCTGCACTTGCGCCCTCTGCAGGTGAAATGTAATTGTATAATTATATCCAGCATGTTATAATAACCTTTACAGTTCATGTAACCAGATGTGTAAACTTGGGCTTGTGGTAGCGCGCTGCTGAAGAGATGTGCGTGTTTAGTTCGCATATAAGAATGGAGAAAACATGTGTGGAAAATTAATTTTGCAAAAGTTTATTTTGTGTTACAATTATTTTTGGATTCACCAGTTTTAAGCTTAACTTATGAATTGATTTAGTTAGTTGATGTCCAGTGACCGAGTATAAGTTGTTTCTGGTTTATTTTGCTGTTGCTATAATATGTACTTTGATATGGTGATTTTTAATTGCATGCACCTTTTGTAAGCCTTTTTTGACTTCGTGTTGCAGACAACACTCTGCTGAACTGACTGTCACTGGCTGCTAGCACACGGAAATGTTGATGATTGCAACGGTTTATCTCATGTACTGTTGTACATGTGAGGTAAACTGGCGTATGAGCATGTTAGTCCCTCTCTACATGCTGTAACATGTATAAGTGGGCGCTAGCGTCTAGCGAACGGGTGTTCTTCCAACCAGTGACAGTAAATAAGCCAGCAGGTGTTGGTGTATG